GTGTCTGTAAATTGATTGGGTGGCATGGAAACATATAATTGCATCACAGGAATGATTTGTATTTGCATTTTTACATGACAGTATGTTTCTACTTGAAGATATGAGGAAGATGCATTGAAGATCTGTATTTTATCTGTTAAATAATTATTAACATTAGTAACAATTAACATGTTCAATAGTTTTTAATTTCTTAAAATATTTTAATATTTCAGATACTTTATGTGGGAAATAGACTCATGATGTTCTTTGAACTTTATTTCAGTGATGTTTGTAAATATTCTTTATTTCAACCACTAGCATTAACATAACATTATTACCATTCCTATGGAATACGTAGTTAGCATGGTTAACTTTTAATGATACAAGTTTTGAGCACCATTTTGATCCAACAGTTATGGCAATAGCAAAAATAAGCCAATCATATTTTTGGGTAAAATAATCAAATTGTTTTTCATTTTAGAAATGCAAACTTTATACTGATTCTTGCATTACATAAAAAGATGCTCCCTGCTGCTACTTTTGCATTTTATCAGGAGATTCCTATGTTGAAGTTTATTACTGATTTTGCCTCAGAAAATTTATGTTTATGATTCAGAAGATTTGTGATATGATATTTCTTAAAAATTTAAAAAAACATATCAAAAATTCGTCATAACTTCCTTTTATGTGCTTGTTTTCCATATTTTATTGTAAATTCTTGCATGTATAGGTATCAAAGCACTGCACCCTAATTATTCACAAGAATTTCAAAGCATCATCAATGTGATCAAAGTAGAAACAATAGAACCAAAAAGAAGCAATGCCAATGATGTAATTTGAAGATAATAATAAACTGGTGATTCTCCTAAATCTCAGAATGCCTCCCCGCCCAGCAAGAACATTTCTCACATTTATTTTCACAGGAGGCCCTTTCTTATTGGAACATACTATAGCATTCGTCTGATAAACTAATGAGTTTATATTATATATATATATATATATTTTTTTTTTTTTTGAGACAGAATCTCACTGTGTTGCCCAGGCTAGAGTGCCGTGGCGTCAGCCTAGCTCACAGCAACTTCAAACTCCTGGGCTCAAGCGATCCTCCTCCCTCAGCCTCCCGAGTAGCTGGGACTATAGGCATACGCCACCATGCCCGGCTAATTTTTTTTTTCTATGTATTTTTAGTTGTCCAATTAATTTCTTTCTATTTTTAGTAGAGACGGGGTCTCGCTCTTGCTCAGGCTGGTTTCGAACTCCTGAGCTCAAACAATCCACCCGCCTCAGCCTCCCAGAGAGCTAGGATTACAGGCGTGAGCCACCGCATCCGGCCTACAGTGGATTTTTTTTTTGAGACAGAGTCTTGCTCTATCCCCCCTGGTAGAGTGCTGTGGCGTCATCATAGCTCACAGCAACGTCAAACTCCTGGGCTCTAGCGATCCTCCTGCCTCAGCCTCCTGAGTAGGTGGGACTGCAGGGATGTATCACTGCGCCCGGCTAATTTTTCTATTTTTTGTAGAGGTGATGTCTCGCTCTTGCTCAGGCTGGTCTTAAACTCAAATGATCCTCCCACCTTGGCTTCCCAGAGTGCTAGGATTACAGACATGAGTCACCATGCCTGGCCTTTATTAGAATTTATATTAGTCTTTAATTTCACCTCTCATTGCAGTTACTATTATTCTGTTTCCCAACTGGTACTGAAACACTTCAGTAGTTTATCACATTTACACACACACACACACACACAGTGCTAATAGGGCAAATTAAGAACCATGAAAATGAATCAAATTGGCAATTCTGAGTGATTTCAGAGGTAAAATAGAAACCCCCCCTTGCTTCCATTCCTGAATGAAGCCTGAATTTGACCTTCACTTCCTGGGGTGCCTATCTAGCCCCTGCTTGTGGGGACTCCCCTCTCGGACACCTGCACCGTGTGTTCGGAGCAGCCGTGGTTGTACGATGTGACCCTGCCTTCCACAGCCCCACTTCCTGGCTCTAGACGGTGGTTCAGTGCCCAACATTTCCCCAGAGTTGGGTAGACCAGAATCCCTTCCTAAGTATTTGGGTTGGTTTCCATTTTTATTGTGGTCTTCTAGAAAGAGAGAGAAAAAACAAAAGAATTTGGGCTGGAGACTGGTGCTATCACTGCTTATCCTACAGCCATGTAGCAGGTGACCTGAAGGAGAAAAGAATGAAGCAGGGGCACAGGTGCAAAGCAGTCTTCTTGGAGTCCCTGGTTCAACTGGCAGTTTGCTTTTGATGCCCCGCCTGGAACTCTGAGAGACACATCTGTATCTTTATCTACATTCTTTATTTTTTACTTTATCACATTCGACATCTCCTACTTGTTACCAACGTAATGCTAACTAAACATTCCCTTAACAAAGCTCTCCCTGCCCCTTCCCTTCTTTTCAGAATGAGCTTCAAGGTCAGAAATCCTTATGTGTGCAAGCTGCACACGCTGCTTTGCACATGGCATGTCCATAGGGCTCAGGCTTGGCCTGTGAATGCAGGACATGACGCGCATCCAAATTAAGTGCCTGTAGGTGGTTTCTTAAAACACCATAATGTCCTAGTGCAGGATGTAATTTTAATAGCATTAAATATAAACATCTCAAAATTGTATGTTAATTACAGTTAGCTTCAATTTCTAGCAGATGCAACCTTGTGAATTTTTGTGACTTTCAGGGGTTATGAATTGTGTCTCATGACAAAAGCACAGAGGCACACATATTGTGTAGAATATGCATCTGCTCAACTGACAAAGGGTTCACTTGTCCTCATGTGGTCAGTGGGGTGACCAGCAGGAAGGTTGGTGTGCTGCTCCCAGAGCATACTGAAGCTCAAAGAAGCGCCACAGTGGATGGACCTCAAAGCCAGCAGCTTTGGCCACCTCTGGGCAGCCGGGGAAGGCTCTCCCTGAGCTCCCTGTGATGTTGGCTGCTGCCAGGTACTGTGTGGGCCGCCAGCCCAGCTCCAGGTGTGTTGTTCCCTTCCCCCATGGCTTTCCTGCTATCCAAGCATTTTACACTTACTGCTTCTGCAAAGAAAGTTTATAGAGAGTGCATTCTCCAGATGTCTGTTAGATAAACTGCCCCATCCCTGGAGCTGGAAAATTTGTTCTCTATTCACCTGAAAACCACCTGGGGAGTGGGCGCTGGTCTGAGGGGGAGGAGTGTTGCCTAAGGCTGGCTTTGATCTCACTTTACTTACTTAACAGATACTTACATAGAGTGCTGTCTGAGCCAGGCAGTGTTTCAAGCACTTTACCCTCTTAACTCATTTAATCCTCTTAACAATCCAATGATGTACTGGCTGCTATTATCCTCAATTTAAAGATAAGGAAACTGAGGCATGGGAAATAAAGTAACTTGTTCAGGGTCCTACAGCCTGTAAGATATATATTTCTGAAGAGCAGTTATTTAGTGAAATTTGTCATATTAATTCCTGTATCCTATTTAAATATTTATATTTAAAGATAGACTGTAGAGAATCTTTCAGTGAGGTGAGGAATCATCTCCAAATAAATTTTCTTTTTTCTTTTGAGACAGGGTTTCGCTCTGTTGCCGTCTGGACTGCAGTGGTGTCATCATAGCTCCTATAACCTCAACTCCTGGGTACAAGTGATCCTCCCGCCTCAGTCTCGTGAGTAGCTGGGACTGCAGCCTGGCCTTACCACACCCAGTTAATTTTTTTATTTTTATTTTTGTAGAGACAGGGTCTTGCCATGTTACCCAGGCTGGTCTTCAACTCTTGGCCTCAAGTGATCCTCCTGGCTTCTGCCTCCCGAAGTGCTAGGATTACCGGCGTGAGCCACCACGCCCTGCCTCCAAGTCAATTTTTGTATATATGTGCACACTTGCTTAACTTGCTGTCAATTTTTGAAGGCTCCAAATTTTCAGTGTCTAACACAATCATCTTGGCCAGATTTTTGAAGGGTAAAATTATGTACAAGAGCACAGTAATGGGAGCAGAAATCACAGGCCCTACATTTCCAGGGCGTTAGGAAGGGGAGTTCTCTCAGAATGTCACAGCTGATTGTCTCAAGGCTGAGGTTCTTAGGGTCCCTGCCCGGCCTTCGGGGATCAGTTTGCAGGGATAGGCGGTGTCATCCAGCGGGTGAGAGCGAGCCTAAAAGCAAATACCGTAAAAAACTGAACATGCACTGAAGCACGGGCCTGGGTTTTCTATGATGTTTTCTAGCATATTGTTTATAAAACGGTTTCATACGACTTCCTTGACGGAAAGTTAACAAATAAGTTCCTCGTCACTTGAACAATTTTAATAATCAGGTAGAAAAGAAAGCTCACTTAAGCCATTTAAGGGAAGCCTGAGGTCAAACTGGCTGGTCACTGACAGTGCCCCAGGAGAGCACTTGAAAACGCATGTAATTCTGGGAAGAGGGTCCTGAGTTGTCACCAGCTTTTCACAGAGGTCAAAGGAACCCCAAAAGGTGCAGAATCCCTGCCCGACACCGTTTCTTTAGAGACCCTGAGAGAGTAAACCCGGAGGAGGGTGGGAGCAGGTAGGCAATTTGGCAGCACGACCTCTGCTTTTAGAGGGCGTGGGCAAAGCCGGGCTGTCGGAGTTGCCCCTTTGCCCTCCCCGGATCCCAGGAGTCTGTCCACGCTGCACTGAGATACCTCCCGGTCGCCTGCAGCTGCACTCCAAGACCAGCTTCTCTGAAGTCCACCTCTCTGCGGACTTGAGCCCGGGGCGTGGTCGGCTTTAATCTGCTCCCAGGCCCAGCGCCGAGGTTGCAGCCGGTAACTAGATATGGCCGGGCCGGATCGCACGGTCCAAGTCTGCCTCAGTGTGTGACCGAGGACTCGCCCCGGCAGCAGGCGGCGCACCCCGAGGAGCGCACTCCTTTTCTCGGCGGAGGGAGCGGGCTCCGCCGCGCCCTGCGGCCTACAAGACCTGCTGACGTCGCGGAGGGCCGGCAGTCGGCGCGGGAGCGGCCGGCGTTACTGTGTGCGTTGGCGCCTCCGCGAGGCGGAGACGCGCGGGGCCCGCGGCCGTGCGGCTTCTAGGGCGGCGGCCGCTGCAGCACCAGCGGCCCAGGCGGAGAGGTCCGAGGCGGCCGAGCAAGCAAGGGATGGGGAGGACCGGGCCCCTCACATCTTCAGGGCGCGCGAGCGGCTCCGGGGGCGCACAGTGACGGCGGCGGCGCTCCTTACCGGGCAGCACCGACACTGCTTCTCCAGAGAGCCCGCGGCCGGCGGCGAGCCGGGCCATGCGGATCGCCCAGGGCCGGGCCAGGCCTCGCTGACCCCGGCTCCGCGCGACGGCCTTCCCCGTTTCCGCTCCGGCCTCTCGGCATGAGAGTCCTCCCGGGCCCGGGGCCGCGGCTGCCCCAGACCCGCCGCCCGCGGGCGCGCTGCGGGCCCGCGGGCCCGTGGTGCTGATCCCAGCCCACCGCACTGCGCTGGCCGCCCGCCCGCTGTATGCCCCGGGAGCGCGGCCATGGAGGTGGTGGGCGACTTCGAGTACAGCAAGAGGGACCTCGTGGGACACGGGGCCTTCGCCGTGGTTTTCCGGGGGCGGCACCGCCAGGTGAGCGCCGCCCGCCCAGCCGGCTGGGGGCGAGGCCGGGTCCCCAGGCCGCAGCCGAGCTGCATGGTCCTGAGCCTGGCGAAGCCGCGGGAGCCGAGTCCCCTACTTGGCTTGCTGCCCCGGGCCTGCCATTGTGTGCTGTCAGTGTCGCGGGTTTTGTTTTGGTGTTGCGAGGGTTGTTTGGAGGCTGAAGCCGCTAGGCAGCGCTCCACCTACCGAGCGGCCGCTGACGTCTACTGCCAGTCGGTGTGCTTGGGAACCGGAGTGTGCTCGGGGATCCACCCCGGCGTCCCGCCCAGAGAAGCCTTTCCACCTGAAGTCACCCTGGACCCAAAATAGACTGCGCCGTCCCTTGCATTTCTCGGGGCTCGGGTACGGGCGGATCTTTGTTTTTTCCTCCCCGCCCCGGACTGCCAGGGCTTGTCACCTTCGAGGTTGATAATTGCAGACCCAGCGGAAAACAGGCGGGTTTCCCGTTAGCCAGAGGCTTTCTCAAACTCGGAGGTATCACCTTTCTCAGCACTGGTTCCCCTACACCCGACCAGCCCCGTACCGTCTTCCTTCCTGGGCCAGCTAGAAGGGCTCTCAGTGGAAAAGATGAATGGACGCTTCCTTTTCAATCCAAATAAACGTGAAAACATCTTCAAGCCTTAAAATTTTTTTTAAAAAGCCTTTTCTGTTTTACAAGTATTGGTTACACGAGGTTTTGTAATCTAAGGAAAGGAACATCGAGAGTGAAAATAATCATAAAGAGCTTGGGGGTTCTGATTGTTGTCAAGGTGCATGTTAAAAGTAAACTGACTTTGTGGTTTATCGGGCGAAGTAATACTACTTACCTTTCATTTATTATGAAAATAACTTAAAACTCAAGAAAAAGTTAGAATACAGTATAATCCTGCCAACCTAACAAATACTGTTTTCAGTTAACCATATCACCCTCCAAGTTTGTTTCCACATTTCTCATAACTTTTAAGTGATTATAAAGTATATTCTTTTTTCATTTAATGCTAGTTACTATGTGGTCTTCATATTTATTTTTAGTAGGTGTGTTGTAGGACATTGTTTTGTTAATGCTATAATTTATGAAATCATTCTCCTATTGGAGATTCAGGTTCTTTTCCATTTTCCCTATTGCTGTACATTTATTTGCTGAAAACATCTTTGTGCTTATAGATTTTTTTCTGTTGAATTATTGCTGTGGAATAATTTCCAGGAGTAATACTGTTTCTCTTTTTCAGAAAACTGATTGGGAGGTAGCTATTAAAAGTATTAATAAAAAGAACTTGTCAAAATCACAAATACTGCTTGGAAAGGAAATTAAAATCTTAAAGGTATGTTACTTTATGTAGTATTTCACACTATGTTAAAACTTAACTTCAAATGCCATCCTTTGCAATTTTGGTAGTTGGACCTAAATTTAAGCATTTTCAACTGTTGCTTTCATTTTTGCATACTCAGTTATTTTTGTTTTTTTTTTTTTTTTTTTTTGAAACATCAAGTACTCTGAGGCAATTTTTAAGAATAGATGTTTGTGGCTCTTGGCCAAAGCTTAGAGGGATTTTATGAAGACTAATTTTGGCTTCTCATAATTTCTTCCTTTCTCTCTCGTAGATATTTTGTTATTGTTTGAGAAGAGGGCCAGGCAGACCCATCTTACACATTGTTACAGCCTCTTCTGTTGACCCTTTTCACATTACTATTTTAAGATTTTTGGGGAGAGTGGGGGCACTTGGGTTCTTTTCTTTGTAAGTTGGAGAAAGTTATTTTCCTTAGAGGTGGTCTTTTTAAATCACTCACAACCAGTATTATCCAAGTGAGATGCTTTGAGAAAAAAGAGGGTTCCATGTCAAATAAGTTTGGAAAATCCTGTTTACTAAATACTACTTGGAGAGACACAAAGCACCTGGCTTATTAAAGTCTGAAAAAGTCTACAGTGAAGAAACTTTTTTCAGTGTACTTAACCCAGTGTTTTCCAAACTAATATGAGCATAGAACCTTCATCTAATACTTACCAGCTTTCCTCAGAACTACTCCCTGTGGAGAGCTCTTTGGTAAGAATTATAGCTCTTTGAGCTAAGAGTTATACTTCATTTTCTTCCAGGCATATAATGTGCTTTTTAAAAAGCACTTTGGAATTTCATGCCTTTATTGCTGTTAAAAATTGTATATTAAATTTAGAAGACTAGTAGAAAATCTGTGGCCATACTAACTATAGCATTTATTTTGTAAATGAGAGTACTCACTTTGTTAGGAGTCTAAATGATGGTGATGGAAAAAAAAATTGAGTCCTGAGTAAAGTTGATCAGGCACATTTCTTATTCTTTAGTAGATTGAATTGTTCTAGTCTATTAATAGAAGTATAATATACTAGAAATAGTATATATTTATATATACACTTTAATTTTTATTTGCATATCAAAATATATTAAAATTATTGGAATACCTATAAAGATTTTTCTTTCTCAATTTTCTTAACAGGAACTTCAGCATGAAAATATTGTAGCACTCTATGATGTTCAGGTACCTTATTTTGGATTTTTTAAAAAATTAAAATAAAAATAATTTTTTAGTTTCATACAAATTTAAGTGAATCTTAATAGAAATAAAAACTTGCCTTAATTCTTGTTGAAAAGACATATAGCTTAAGTTATATGTTTATTAATTAAGAAATTGTTTAAAATAGCATAGAGCAATAGGCTAAAATAAATAATGTGCTGCATGGGTAAATTTATTAACAATTGACAATATGCTATAGAGGTAGTATTGTTTTAGGTCAAGTAGAGGAATGTTGATACCAGATCTAGCATTTCTGTGATAAATGTAGAAAGGACTATTGTGGGCTATTAAAAAATTAAATAGAGCTTTTTCTTATTATGAAAGCAACATTTATAAATTGAAGAAATGTTAGAAAATAAATAAAAACAAGAATACTGTACATATCCATTACCCAGATATATCTGTGATTTTCAACGTAGCATACAATAGAGGTATAGTTTATTTGGAGTTGGGAAGGCTGGGTTCTAAAGTCATCTTCTAAGGCAAAATTTCCATATAGTCAAAACTACTCTTGGGGCCGGGTGTGGTGGCTCATGCCTGTAATCCTAGCACTCTGGAAGGCGGAGGCGGGAGGATTGCTCAAGGTCCGGAGTTCAAGACCAGCCTGAGCAAGAGTGAGACCCCCGTCTGTACTAAAAATAGAAAGAAATTAGCTGGACAACTAAAAATATGTAGAAAAAATTAGTCGGGCATGGTGGCACATACTTGTAGTCCCAGCTACTGGGGAGGCTGAGGCAGAAGGATTGCTTGAGCCCAGGAGTTTGAGGTTGCTGTGAGCTAGCCTGACGCCACGGCACTCTAGCCCAGGCAACAGAGCAAGACTCTGTCTCAAAAAAAAAAAAAAAAAATTACTCTTGGAATCCTTTTAAGAGCCCAGCTTTGGAGAAATTTACTGTTTTCTGGGTGGAGCACCAGATCAAGTAGTTGGCTCATATTTAGGGCCATATTATGTGGTTTTGTTTTTTGGTTTTTTTTGAGACAGAGTCACTGCAACCTCTAACTCCTGGGCTCAAGCAGTCATTCCGCCTTGGCCTCCCAAAGTGCTGGGATTACAGGTGTGAGCCATTAGGAGGAACATACTCAAATACGTGAGTTATTCGTCAGTCAGGAATTTCAAGGTGACTGCATTAAAGTGTCTTATTATTTTGTTCATTGTACACTACTGGAACTAATTCATAAAAATAAGATTATCAGTCAAATGAATGTAGTGTTGAGCATTCAGCTATCAAGTAAACAGAGTCTTGGCCTTATATTTCAGATTTGCTTTTTTGATTCTAATTGTTCATCAAGGGGTACAGTATATTGAGAGATTGGTGCAATAGTTTTATCAAATTGAAATTAAAATCATTTTTACTGGCCATTAGTTTTGGAGAGTTGTCTGGAGTTTATACATTGAGAACATATTTAAATTGAGAGCTTTTGACATTGTAAAAATCAGGCTTCAGTTTAGATGATACTTAAAAAGTGCATTTTCCCTCTATCTACAAAAGTAATATATGCCCATAGTTAAAATAATTAAACATTGTCAAAATGATAAATTAGAAAAGAAATGACAATTCCCAGAAATAATCACCGTTTGGTATATTTCTTTTAGAATTTTCTATATTAATCTATAGCAATCTATACTTAGTTTTTTAAGCTTTTCATTATGAGAAACTTGTAGTGTACAGAATGCAACTTGTTTTATTAAGCTTAATGTATCTTGGATACCTTTTTATAATCAGTATGATACCATAGGGCTAAATGATAATTTATTTACTTAAAACCCAATTGTGGCCATTTGGATTGTTTCTTATTTTTCCCTATCAGAAATAGTGCTGCAAAGAAAGCTGTGTACATAATGTGTTTGCTTATTTTTATAGTGTTCTTGTAGAATAAATTCCTTGAAGTGGAATTGCTTGGTCAGAGATATTAGCTTATCTTCCAAAAGATTATACCAGTTTATTTTGATTAATAGTGACCTATCTTTTTTTCGGGGGGGGGGCAATCTCATAGACAGAAAATAGCTTAAGTTTAAAATTTTTTATTTCTTAAATCATTAGTGCATTGACCATCTTATTGTTTTATTTGCCTTTTCTTTTCTTTTCTTTTTTTTTTCTTTTGAGACAGGGTCTTGCTCTGTCTTCTGGGCTAGAGTGCAGTGGCATCATCGTAGCTCACTGCACCCTCAAACTCCTGGGCTCAATCGATCCTCCTGCCTCAGCCTCCTGAGTAGCTGGGACTACAGGCATGTGCCACAATGCCTGGCTAATTTTCCTATTTTTTGTAGAGATGACATCTCACTCTTGCTCAGGCTGGTCTCGAACTCCTGGCCTAAAGCAGTCTTCCCGCCTCAGTCTCCCAAAATGCTAAGATTACAGGCATCAGCCACTGTACTTGGCCTATTTGCCTTTTCATATTTCTTCTGTGACATTCCCTTTACTGTCCGGTGATGTTTCTGTTGTGTTCATTTTTTCTTACTGATTTCTTTGTGATCAGTATTTCTTAAGCCAGGTAATAAGATGTACGGGAGTATAGTGGTGAGCAAAATAGAAAAGGTCCTTGTCCAGCTTACCGTATAACTGGGGAAGATGACATCAAATACATATTTACTATTTCTAAGTGTGCCAGGTGCTGTAAAGTAGAACTGTTGGAGAGGTTTGGAGGAAACAATATGGGAATTAGAGTAGTGGGGCTAGGGAATGATCCCTGAAGAACTGATGTTTAAATAGACTTAGATGAGTGGGAGATGGCTAGGCTAGGGGTTGGTGGGAGAAGAACAAGTGTAAAGACCACAGACAGAAAAGATCTCTGAATTTGAGGAACCAGAAGAAGGCCAGTGTGCTGGGAGTACAGGAATGAGAGAGAGAGAGTAGTGTTAGATGATGCTGGAGAGGTTAGTCGGGGCCAGATCTGATCTTTATTCTAAGGACAGAGCAAAACTGTTGAAGAGTTTGAAAAGCCCGAGAGTGATATCATGTCTGTTTTTCAAAAGATAAATCTTGAGCATTCTGGGCATGAAATAAATATTGTCAATTAGGAATATTTACCCGTATGGTAGTTTTTGGTCTGGATCAGTATCTACCTCTTGGTAATCTTAGTGTAGCAAGAAAAGGATGATTCATTTAACAGTGCTGGCAAAGCTGAGACATCTGTGAAAAAATAAAGTCGGAACCTTCTTCTCATCATTTTCCAAAATAATTTCCAAATGAATTAAAGGCTTAAATATGTAAAATAAATGATAGATAATTATCTTAGAATAATATTTAGATGACTGTGTATTCTAAGAGATAGAAAGACATTTTAAATCAGGATAAACTCTGAAGCTATATTAGGGACATATAAAAATTTTAAACTTGTTTTACAGCAAATAATACAGTGAACAAACTGACATCCATAAAAGGAAAAAAATGATACATGCCATAACATAGGAATCTCAAACATTCTGTTGAGAAAAAGAAGCCAGCCATATACTGCTACTGTGTGATTCTGTTTTTGTGAATTTCAAGAAGAGAGAACTAAGCAAGGGGGATAGAAATTATAACAGATGCTGCCTCTTGGTAGCAGGGACTGATGACAGAGGGGCAGGAGGAAACTTGGGTGATCGAAATGTTATGTATTTTGATTGGCAGGGTAATTACATGGATGTATACATTTGTCACAACTCACTGGACTGAACACTTAAATCAGATGTGTTAGTGTATGAAAATTATACCTCTATAAAATGCAAAAAAGGCCATTGGCAAATAATAGTTTGAGAAAATATTTACAACACAACAGAAGACAGGCTAAGATCTAAAACGTGTAAATCCTCTCACAGATTGTTAAGGAAAAGACAATCCAAAGAGAAAATAAACAGAGTATAAATTGTTAGTTTTCATAAGAGAAATAAAAATGGCTAATAAATAAATGATACTCATGGATAAATAGGGAGATGTAAATTAAAGTAACAGTGAGATGTCAGTTCTCACCCATCCAATTGGCAAAATTTAAAAGTGCAGTAATTCTTACTGGTAGAGTTGAGAGAGGGAATAGTGTAGAATATTCTCACATGTCACTTATAGAAATGTAAATTGTTAAAATATTTTTGGAACATTGTCTGGCAGTACCTGTTTCTGTCCTTTTGCTTCCATCCCCCTTAAGGATATTCCAACATGGCCGCAAGAGTGATCTGTTAACGCAAGTCAGGACATGCTGCTGCTCTGCTTGGAGTCCTGCAGTGGCTCCCCATTTTTATCCGAGTAAAAGCCAAAGTCCTTTTTAACATGGTCCAACTGATCATCTCTGACTCTATCTCCTACTTCTTTGCACCTTGCTGCTTTTGCTCCATCTGCGCACACCTCCTCATGGTTCCCAAAGTGTTCCATACCCTGGACCGTTGCCCCTTTTTCCCTTTTGCCTGGGACCTTCTTCCTCCAGATTTACTGGACATTGTACAGCTATCTCTGTAGTATATACAGACATATTTCAGATGTAGTCCCCCAACCTTTTTTAGGTCTTTACTCACATATTATGTTCTCAGTGAAGCTTTTTTTAGCCACCGTAAATAACATTGCAGTCCCCATCCCAAGCGCTCTCTATGTCCTTTTTTTATGTTTTCTTTCAAAACACTTATCACCCTCTAGCATACTGTTTATACTTCTTTTGTTTGTTGTCTCTTCCTTGACCCTTCCCCCTTAGAATTTAAGCTTAAAGAAAATAGGACATTTATTTATTTGGTTGTTTATTATGTATTTATTTATTCATTTATTTATTTTAGAGTCAGAGTCTTGCTCTGTTGCCCAGGCTGGAACGCAGTGGCACAGTCATAGCTACTGCTGCCTCAAACTCCCAGGCTCAAGAGATTGTCCTGTCTCAGCCCCCTGAATAGCTGGGACTACAGCATGCGCCACCACACCTGGCTAATTTTTAAATTTTTGTTGAGGTGTGGTCTCTCTATATAGCCCGAGCTTGTTTTGAACTCCTGGCCTCAAGCGATCCTCCTG